ACCTTCCCCCCAAAAGAAGGGGGACCTCTTTTTTTCCGATCCCGGAAGTTGGGGGGATGCCCGTTCCCGGGCCCCCGCAAAGGCGAGGCCCGGGGTGGTTAAGGCCCCGGAACCGCCCCCCCCCCCAGACCCCCCTTCCCCCCCAGGGTGCAACATGGAATCATCTTTCCTCGTTTAGTTTGCTCGGGCCGGTCCGGGGTCCAAGCCCCGCCGCTTCTCCGGGACACGGGGCAAAACGGCGGCGCGCAACCGCACCTCGCCCCCCGGAAGGGAAGGCGCCGCGCTGGGGTCCCTAAAAGAGCCCTGGATTCCGGCGCCCCCTCCCCAGCCCCCGCAAAGGAGTTGGGGCCTCCCCTCAACCCCCCCGGCTGGGGGCGCCCTCCCGGCACGGCTCCTGCGGCTCCCGGGCACCCGCCAACGCTTCACTTTTCGGGGAGGGAAAGCCACTGGATGGGCGAGGGCTCCGGGAGACGTCTAGGTCAGCCTCCCCAGGTCAGACTGAGGTGAGAGGAGTGTCGCACCTGCCCTTCTCTTTTCAAACTGGGGACTGTCTTAACCCCTAGGGAACCGAGAGGCCCCATCCCTGTGAGAGACACCGCTCCAAGCAACCCTTTAATACTGCCCCTTGCCACGGGAGCTGAAGCCCACATGATCCTTTCAAAGGTACCCTCTCGCATGGACCCCCAAATGTCTCCCCCACCTCCATACATATAACACACATGCTGTCCCCTAAGCGCTCTACTAAGAATCCAATAACCCAGGATGCTTATTAACCCCTTTCGACCCCTACTGACCCCGGCCTTTCATAACTGCAGGCTGACCCTTGTCTCCTGTGAGTGCCACACATTCTACCACATTGATCCTGCTCACTGATTCTCCCTCACTAGCCCTGGATCCTTATGGGGATCCCTTATGAGAGGGGCACTCTACCCTTAGTGGTCAGAAGGTGGTCCTGAAGGTTGACAATCCCTCCTCTCACGGCAGGACTTCAGCTGCCCTGGTTGGCAAGCTGACCCTGGGTCTGGGGCTGGATGGGAGCAGCTGCCTGCTGTGATCCCTACAGCTTCAAAGATGACCCTGGGGGTGGGAGGTGGGGGTGGGAGTAGCAGTTTGGGCCCTTGAGCCTTCCTGGCCCATGTTTGCTGCCAGTGCCTCCGTTCACTCAATCGAGCAATCACTCCTTTACTCCTTGTTTGTTCCAGGCTCTTTCCCGGGCAACAGGAGCACAGGAGAGCCTGCCCTCAAGGGGCGCCCAGACTGGGGAGGGGGGGGGGCGGGAAGTGGGCAGGTGGGCCTGGACAGGGCTGGGAAGGTCAGGCCCAGCTCCAGGGGTGGCTGTGCTGGGAAAGAGGCTTATTGATCTCAGCCCAGCTCAATCGAACACAAGGCTGCCTGGGCAAAGGGCGATTTAATTAAGAAGACACGAGACTCTTATTTACCTGTCGGCACTTGCTAACTGTGCGACAGCTGTCCCTTGACACTGACCCGCAGACACTGTTGTGGGCCTAGGGACAAAGCTGTGCTGCTGGCATCTCTCTCCTCGCCTGGCCAGGGGAATCCCAGTCCTGCCGCAGGGGAATCTGTGAGTGGTGGGGGAAAGGTTTGGAGGAGTAGAGACGGTTGGAGAGAGGCCAGGGGCGGGGCAAGAGATGAGGGATAGGAGAGAAGGACAAGAGGAGAGACAAGAGACAGGCAGAGTTAGGGCAGAAACGGGTGGAGATGGGCAGAGTTAGAGAGAAGGCTGGAGTATGGGGCCAGGACGGAGGGGCCAGTCCTCCCTCAGATTGATCCGTGTTATTCCTCTAAATGGGAGCTATTCCCCCTGCAATCTCAGAATACCGCAGGGATGGGAGTGCTTTGAGTTTCCGTCTCAGCCCAACCAGTGAGCCCCATCCCCTCACCACGAGGAGGCCTGACCGGCTGTGGCTCAGCCTGGCCCAAAGTCAGATCTCCTCGACACAGGCTCTCAGAAAGCTCTGCCCCAAAGCAATGAGGTGATACAATAGAAAAATGGAGACCTAAGAAGGAAAAGAAAGGAGAGACCCACAGGGACGGAGACACACACACACCTGGCTGGGAGAAATCAGGATGAGGAGAAGCGAGAAAGAGCCTTTCCAAACCTTCCCTTCCTTCCAGCCAGCCAGTCACCACTCTTTACCTCCTAGGAAACCTTCTGTGGTCCTGACAGCCACAGGGGCCCAGGGTTCCATCCCTTCCCTCTCCTGCAGGACACCCTGGGATCAAAGTTAACTCCGCAACCTTCACTGTAGCTCATCTTGTTTCCAAAAAGTGAGATCAGCTCCTCTGGGGATGCTTCTTGTTTGCTTCCCTCCCCAGTGCCCAGAGCACAGGAGCTCCTCATTCAGACCCTGGATGATCTGAGAAAGGCCAGGAGAGGGGCCAGGGTCCTAGAATCCCAGTGTCAGAGGCCATAGGAGTCTGGAGTCCTTCACTGAGACCGAGACAGGGGGAGGGACTTAGTCAGGGCCTCTCAGGGAGTCAGTGTGGAGCCCACTCAGGCCACTACCCATGGTGAGTCACAGTGGGAAGCTGAAATATGCCCAGATGGTGGAGAGAAGAAGGGGGAAAGACAGAGAGAGGCATAGGGCTCCTAGGAGGGGGAAGGTCAGGTGAGAAGGTTGGGTGATTAGGAGCTCTGGTCGGGCCTGGTCCTGCAGGATGTGCTAGAAAAAGAAGCAGGCCAGGGTTGGAGGGCAGGGGAGTGTCAAAGGGTGTCCATCACATCCTAAAACCCATCCCCTATGAGGCCAGCAGAGAAGGCTCAGAGAGAAGAGCCTCCCAGGTGGGAGAGGGGAGCTGCCCCCGAGGTACCCCACACTGTCCCACTTTAGGATTCTCACCTTTGTCCTTGATGACACCCCCAGCGCAGGCCTCAAAGAATGCCCCCCCCTTCTCTGTCCTAAGCAGGGACATAAAAGTCTCTTTTCTCACACCCTCTTCACACTGTAAGAAAGCTGGCATTTGCAGAAAGCCCAGAAAAACCAAGAGGGCACTACAGGACAAGAAGGAAAAAGGCCCCGGAGAAAAGGGGGTGGGAGGAGGAATTGCTGATGGAGCCTTAGCTTCTCACCCACAACCACTAACCACAGACCCTCAGCCCAGCCAAGAGCCTCACTCCTTTTCATTCTTGAGGAGTGCCCCCCCCCCATACTCATAGCCATTTGCCCCCTCCCTTTCAGAGAGGAAAGTTTGTGGTCCCATGCTAGGGTTGTTAGGATCAATGGCGTGGGGTGGGCGGGGGGCAGTGCACTGATGAAGTGGTTGGTGTTCAGTGGCTACGAGCATAGAACCAGACTGCCTGGGTCACCTCCCAGCTTCACCACTGACTAGCTGTGACCTTGGCCAAGTTACTCAAATTCCCTATGCCTCAGTTTCTTTATCGTTGGCTATGAATAATAATAAGCCCTATAGTAACACCTCAGCTCTGGAATTTCTCTTGTTCAGACTAGACTGAAAGGTCCCAGGTTCGATTCCGGTCAAGGGCATGTACCTGGGTTGCGGGCACATCCCCCGTAGGAGATGTGCAGGAGGCAGCTGATCGATGTTTCTCTCTCATCGATGTTTCTAACTCTCTATCTCTCTCCCTTCCTCTCTGTAAAAAATCAATAAAATATATTTAAAAAAAATAATAAGCCCTATAGTAACACCTCAGCTCTGGAATTTCTCTTGTTCAGACTAGAGGGTAGGGGTTGCTGGGCTCCAGGAAGATCAGTGGTGGGACTTGAACTGGGGCTGGACTAGAAAAAAAGGCGAAGGGAGTCCTGAAGCCACATTTGGCCTATGTCCTCACCTGGCACTTGCAGGCCTTTGATCTAGCCCTGCTAGGCTCTGGAACTGGCCCAAGGCCAGCCCCCAGGCCTTTGCCCAGGTTGGCACATCTTATATGCTGCTCTCCCAGGCCCAGAGTCTTAGCATACCTGGTGGGTTGGGGTGCCATCTTGTGGCCACATCCGGAAGCTAACCTAAGCTGGACACAGAGTAGGCTTTGGGATGATAGTCAACAATGGGACTGACAGGCATTTTCTCCCCAGACAGGAACCCTCCCTTTAATGGACAGGGAGAGTGAATCTGCAGGTGGAATAGTGGGAAATTGGTGACTGTGGCTGCCGGACCCTTAGCTTGAGCACAGACCCTGGTCCCTAACCTGGGAATGTGTAGGTGCTGAGCTGTTCCTTCCTGAAACCCCTGGGCAAGTGGGTCCCAGATCTCTTAGAACCAGGGAACTCGGGAAAGGAGCCAAGATGAAGAATACTCTGGGGAAGTGCTAGGCCTGGGTTTCTCAGCCTCTGCACCGCTGGCTTTTTGGACCCGATAATCCTTTGTGGTGGGGGCTGTACTGTGCATTGCCGGAAGTTTAGCAGCATCCTGGCCACTTACCCA